TGATCAACACACACTAAATGATTCATAATTTTTGGCTCTTGATATATACACATGTCCTGTTTGCGTTTTTTCTGAATCCAAGTACTAAACTGCTTTGAGAATTGAGAATAGTTTCATACAAGCTTTGAACTTACAATTTCTATATCAAAAATATATTAGGTTTGTTATTGTAGCAGCTCAAGCTCACCGTTTGCAGATATTGTCCTTTTTGGGCTTTCCTTCGTAGTTTTTAAAACTTATTTGCTAGGTAGAGGTTTTCACACCCTTATAAAGAATGCTTCGTTCCTTTCTCCAACTGATGTGGGATCTTATAGTTATGTGCTCCAACGTTTGTGCATGCTTGTCTGATGCTGGTCTGATTTTTGAAGAATTTAGCATTCTTGTATAACTTGTTTGTCTTCTCTATTCATAAATTTATTTCCTCAAGTTTCTCAACTCCTGGAATTTTGTTTATGGCTGCAGTTGCACAAACCGGTAACCGCAGAAGACTTGGCAGCAGCATCTATTGCTCTCAAGAACATGAGTTGATCAAGAAGATCATGTGCTCTAACACTAAGGTAGTATGAAATGATTCCGCGCCACTTCTATTTGTATTTGGTCACATTATTATCTATATTACCTATTTATTTAATGGGTTTGGCATGATCATGATCTGGCTGAAACTTGACGATGCTGTTAGAAATATATGATCATTAAAAATTTCAATTATATAGAATAAATAATCCAATTGAGCATATAGTTTATGCATGGAACTACCATATCTCAAAGCCTTCAACTATCTAAACTAAGTTTAGGGAATCTTCTTAATGAACTCATCATGGATCTTCAGTCCTCCCTTCCACTTTGAACTCCAAACTTCATACAAACCAACATGAATGGCCGTTTGGTTTTTGGGTGTAGAAGCATCAATTGTGAGTTCTAAGGGTTCCTCAGGGATTGTTAGCTTTTGATTTTGAGGGTTTGTTTTGAAGAGAAATTTCGTTGGGAGATGAGTTTCACATCAGCCTAATTAAAGGAGTCGATCCTAGGTTTATAAGTAAAGAATACATCTCCTTTGGTATGAGGCTTTTTGAGGAAGTTCAAAACAAAGTCATAAGAGCTTATGCCCAAAGTGGATAATATCATACCATTGTGTAGAGTCGTGATTTCTAACCTTCTCAACTTTAGCCATTACGTAGACATTAGTCCCATTACATGCCACACTAGAAGAATTTCTTGTCCTGCAGAGAGATTAGAAATTCAAATGGTTAAACTACCCTCAAAATCCAAAGAAAAAATTAATCTAGTTTATGATTTTCAAAACTTGGATTAGATTTTGAAATTACTTATAGCACAACAAAGAAACTCAAATTTAGAAGTAAAAAAGTACGTCTTATGTTCAGAATTCGAATGACCTCGACATTTCCATCGTCTCCTACGACACGGTCACGTTACTTCTCAGTTTTAAAAGTGAAAACTATCCCCATAGACTATCACGGGTCTTTTGAACATATTTTGTCCTTATTCACATTTTTCAAGAAAAAATCATAAAAAATCACCCAACATAGGATTATTTCAAGGAAAACGCACTTAATTTTGGAGTTCCTATGATTGAGTCACTTTATTGGTATATGTAATAATTTTCAATTCTTTTAATCATTTGTGAGATCCCACATCGATTGGAGAGGGGAACAAAACATTCTTTATAAGTTGCGTGAAAACCTCCTCATAACAGAAACGTTTTGAAAACTTTGAGAGAAAGCATGAAAGGGAAAGCCCAAAGAGGACAATATCGGCTGACGGTGGGCTTGGGCTGTTACAAATGGTATTAGAGCCAGACACTAAATTGTGTGTCAGTGAGAACATTGAGCCCTGAAGGGGGGTGGACACCGGGCGGTGTGCCACCAAGGACGTTGAGTCCCAAAGGGGGTGGACACTGGATAGTGTGCCACCGAGTACGCTGAGTCCTGAAGGGGGTGGACACCAAACAGTGTGCTAGCGAGGATGCTGAGCCACATTGGTGGACATTGGGCTGTGTGTCAAGGAGGACGCTGCACCCTGGATAAAGGTAGATTGTGAGATCCCACATCGATTTGAGAGAGAAGTGAGTGTCAACGATGACGCTAGTTCTCGAAAGGGGATGGATTGTGAGATCCCACATCGGTTGGAGAGGAGAACAAAACATTTTTTTATATGATTTAGGGAAAGCCCGAAAGAGAAAGTCCAAAGACGACAATATCTGTTCACGGTGGACTTGGGCTGTTACATCATTTCTTAATCATTCTATTATCGGGATCTCTCTCACTCAGATTTGATATCAGTTCATTCATGTACTCCTCTTTTACTCGAGTGTCACATTTCATAACCTTCATTTTCAAAAACCAAATCGTTATCATACATACCATAATTTTTTGTTTATGTTTTTAAAACTCTCCACAAAAAATTGATAGAAACTTGAGTTTGATATGATAATAAGTTGAAAGAGCATACCTTATTATCCTCGGCATGGGTAGAGCAATCTTGAAGATAGAATGACTAAGAAAGGTCGAAAACAATTGAAAGTTACTACCTATACTAACATAGTGCAACTTCTTTTTTTCAGTGGCTCAATCATACAAACTCCAAGGCTAAGTATGTTTTGCTTGGAGCAATTCTATGTTGGATGACTCCTTAAATTTTTTTTTAAAAAGTATGTGAGTAAGAACAAAACATACTGAAAGAACTCGTATTAGTATTTGAAGATACTCATCTCTCTTAGAAGCAGGAAGTAACGTGATTATGTTATAGAGATGCAAGGAAATGTCAGATACATCAGGTACCAAATCCAGTTTCTAAATTCTGAATCTGAGATGATAAATAATGTTCTTTTTTAATTGATTTCGGGAATAAGAAATATTGACCAACGTGTAGTCGACACATAAGCAAACATCACCTTAAAGGCATATCTTTGCTTTGTCGGTCTACGTGGTATATTGAGATTATGCATGCATGCATGGCATTGATGTCCCTTTTTAATATAGTAGTCAATGAAATGGATTGTTCTATTCCTCCCACTCATTTTTCTATCATATATTCCACTAAGATTTTTTTTTCTTTCTTTTTAATCTCTATTTTCTCTACGGCTGCAAATTGGTTCCCAACTTGCTAAAGCAATGCAAACACAATCAATGTCAATATTCTTTAAAATATCATTTTCCATCCCTTTCGAAGATTACTCGGACCTGTCGGCTAATGCTATAGACTCGTTGAATACACCAGTGTAGTGCGCGTGCGGCCCAAAACATCTAAGGGTATCACAAACCTGTTATTACCTCAAACTTCTTTGGCCTAAGCGGTTGTAGTCCCTTTAAGAATCTGGCCGCGGAGGGATTCCTCCGTATAGCTAGTTAGCAGGTTGAGGTCTCGTTTGTTAACGGAATTAACTAGAAAAATCGCTCCACCAACTAAGAACGGCCATGCACCACCACCCATAGAATCAAGAAAGAGCTCTCAGTTTGTCAATCCTTACTAGTATGGACTTGGTAAGTTTTCCCGTGTTGAGTCAAATTAAGCCGCAGGCTCCACTCTTGGTGGTACCCTTCCATCAATTCCTTTAAGTTTCAGCCTTGCGACCATACCCCCCAAAACCCAAAGACTTTGATTTCTCATAAGGCGCCGACGGAGTCCTTAAAGCAACATCCGCCAATCCCTAGTCAGCATCGTTTATGGTTGAGACTAGGACGGTATCTTATCGTCTTTGAGCCCCCAACTTTCATTCTTGATTAATGAAAACATCCTTGGCAAATACTTTCGCAGTTATTCATCTATCATAAATCCAAGAATTTCACCTCTAACTATGAGATACAAATGCCCCCGACTCTCCCTGTTAATCAATACTCCAATCCCGAAAGCCATCAAAATACGATCGAAATTCTATGATGTTATCCCATGCTAATGTATACAGATCATAGGCTTGCTTTGAGCACTCTAATTTCCTCAAAGTAATAGCATCAAAGGCACGACTCGACCAATTAAAGCCAGGAGCACATTTACCGCTTAGAATAATTATTCGATTTCTAGAACAGGCTCAAATAAAGATTTCCATAATAAATTAGCGGCCTAAGTTAAAAGTTTAATTTTATTATTTATTTATAATTATTTTATTTTAGAATTGACAACTTCAAATATTTTTATATGTAATATAGCATCTATTTTTTTTATTCCTACATTATTAAATTCACCCACTTTATTGGTGCTTCAACTTTATGCATTTTAATTTTCATTCTCTTAATTCATTATAATTTATTTAAAAAACAAACTATTTAGAAATATATTTCCAATATATTTTTTTAAATAAAAGATATTACAATTATTTAATTAATTTAGAGGACTAAATTTAAAATTTATTGAAAATGGTCGGAATAAAATGAAATAAAATCCAAAATAAAGTGACTGTAATCTGAACTTATAGTATGTAATGTCATATTTTTTGTTCGTATTTGAGAAAAAAAATATATTCGTGAACTGTATAAAGAATCACGATGTTTTAAAAAATAAATCATCGTTTAAAATTATTCTAATAAAATTCACAAATGGCCTATTTTAATTCTCAAAATTGTACTAAGAATTCGAGAAACTAAATTTATAAGTCGATAAATTAAGGTATAATTCACGATAAATTAAGGTATATTTCACACGTTGTAAACGTGGGATTAATTGGTATTTTGAATCTATCATATAAAAACTAAAAATATCGAAGAAATAAAATATATATATTGTAAAGAATTTTTTTTAAAAAATACCTTTGAACTTTTTTGAATATTTAAAAGTATTTTTAATTTTTTTATTTTAAAAATATTATCTCGAGAGGGGTGCCTTTGAATACGCGGATATAGATGGTGCATGGCTGTGGTGAATCGTTCTTTTTTTTTTTAATATTTATTCCTAAAACAAAAAAATAATAATAAATAAATAAAATAAGTCATAGCAAATGGCTATAAAAAGCATCAATTCATCTCCACTCCCACCATTATTAAAAAAAAAATACAGCAAACATGGTTGGAGTTTTGCATTCATCACCTCACACCAATGGAGACCCAAATGCCATAGAAAAGATGGAGGTACTTACACAACCCTCTCACGTTAATACGCGAATCATATAGTGACAATATCATATTATTGTGGAGAGTCGTGATTTATAACATGGTATCAGAGTCATACCCTTAACTTACTCATGCCTACAACAAGTATCGAATAAAGGATATACTTTGTTCGAGGACTTCAGAAGAGTAGGGAGACTGTTATTCTCAAAGTGGACAATATCATACAATTAACGATATCTTATCTTATTAACTCAATTTCCACAGAACCAAAAGACCTTAATTTATCCGAAAGGCTTCAACATCACATGGGGCAACGACAATCGCTATTGGCGCTTGCCTCCTCAATCTCGAGCCCCGTAAGCCGCTCTCTTTATTTCTCATTCTTCCCCACCTCTACATTTTTAACCTTGTTTCCATTACTCTACAGGATGAAGGACTCAGCTGCTGAGCTGCTGCAAGTGTCGTGGTTGGAGGTGACATGCTCGACGGACAATGTGGAGGTTGGAAAAAGCTACAAAGTTGGATTCAATCTGTCCATGACGGCGGCGGCTTTTGGATGGAAAGGGTGTAATGTTTACATAATGGCCAAGATTGGGAAGGCTGGAATGTTCGTGCATAAGAAGGTGTGCCTCGACACGAAAGAGAAGAACTTCGACATGCCGGCGGAGGGTCTCATAATCACTGTGAAACCCCCGTCAAGCTCGCCGGGAGATAGCCATCTCTACTTCGGAATGTATGAGGTTTGGAGCGGGAGGTGGAAGGGAGGACTTAAGATTCATCATGCATTTGTGGAGAAGATCAACTAGCTAAGCATCACGTTAGAATCATGGAATGTGACAGTCATATATTGAACGGTTTGAAATAATTAGGTGTCATATTATAAATGCATTATTGACACATGATTTAGTCTTTGTAAAATTTATTAATCGGGGAGTATTGCTAAGAGAAATTATTAGTATTTCTCTATGTATGATCTATACAAATACACGTGGGCTCACTAGGCAAGCTCATTGATATACCACTAGGCATGACTATGTGTAAGCACACGCTCCACTATTGAAATTGATGAAAAAGAAAGGAATGCGAATAATATCATGAGTGTATGCATTTACACATTACATAACTGGTGAAGTAATCCATGATTATATGAACATCCAATGTGCATGAGGTGTTTTAAACCTCTCCTAACAGACATATTTTAAAATCATGAGGCTAACGGCGATACGTAACGACCAAAGCGGACAATATCTGCTAGGGAGAGGTTTACACAGCCTTACAAAGAAATTTTTCGTTCTCTTCTCCAATCGATGTGGTGTGTTAATAACACGTAGTCAATATCAAACCCAGACACCTGTTGATGTATCAATGAGGATGTTAAGCACCTAAAGGGGGTGGATTGTGAGATCCCAATCCGTTAGATAGGGGACCGAAACATTCCTTATAACGGGTGTGTAAACTTCTCTCTAGCAAACGCATTTTAAATACGTAATAGGCCAAACAGACAATATTTGCTAGCGGTGGGTTTGACTTACTACAATTGAATACGTGTTATTCATGCATCAAACAATTTCATCTAACTTAGCCCCTCGACGTTCCAACAATATAAGTTTAATCTAATAATGCTAAGCTCGTGTGAACTAATTATTCCCTATGCTCAACCTTATCATAATAAAATTTCACGTACGATATTGCATTCATTCAAGAGATCAATCTTAAAGTTTATTCACGATACTATATAGTCCCGATATAGCGTGTTGTTCATTACTCACCAGCTCGAAAAGTGGCACCTTTTACCCCAAAACTTCCGACCCCAGCTATAATTTTTCAATTACAGAACTAGATGCTGACAAATCGTTGATCTTTTTATTACACCACAGAGATTCTTTCGATATTTTTAATGAAAGTGGAGACATAAATAAGACACAATAAATCAATCAGCCGACATTTGGAAACAGCATTACATCGTTGAATTAAAGTATTTGTAGATTCCTTTCTAATATATGGAATGGGGTGGTGAGAATGGGTAGTTTCGTTATTATAAAGGATGTTTCATAAGATTCTTGTTCACAAAACAAGTTTATAGAATGACATCTTTTATTATACGGTTATGCGTTTTTATTCGGTGAAGGAACTTGAAGGGATAATAGAGAATCGATAGCATATACTTACATTGATTATGCATGAGATGTAGATCTACATGACATGGAAAACACTTCTGGTTATGTGTTTTTACTCCGTGAAGAAATTGAAGGAGCTGTGTCTTGGTCTTCCAAAAAATAATATGTATGTAGCTACTTTGTCCACTAGTGAATTAGAGTTTACGGTAACGGTCTCTCTTGTGCTTGTCAAGGGGTGTAGATGAAGAGAGTGCTAGGAATCACGACTCTTCACAATAGTATGATATTGTCCACTTTGAGAATAAGCTCTCATGGTTATGTTTTGGACTTTCCCAAAAGGCCTCATACTAATGGAGATAGTATTACTCCCTTGTAAACTCATGATTTTTCACTAAATCAACCAACGTGGGACTCACTCTAAATAATCCTCAACAGAGAGTATTGAAAAAACTTAGTCATTTTCGAGACAAATGTATCACTATGTTATGTGACAACAGCTCTTCCGTTAAGCTACCCAAGAATGTAATCATGCATGTACGCAACAAACACATTGATATAAGATTTCATTTCTTGCATGATTTGACCACAAATAGCGTTATTGAACAGAGCATTCTGTGACACAAGAACAAATTGCAAATATTACGACAAAACCACTTAAACTAAAAGCATTCATATTGCACTAAACATTTGGAGATGTCTTTTTTTCAAACCCCATCTTGTCTTTTTCTATGTTTTTTTTCAAAGAACAATGGAATAAAGTTCAACTTTTTTAAGAAAATGGGTTTCAATTCTCTAGAAATTCGATAATATATGAATGGTTGAAATTCAAGATTCTTGGCCTTTAAATTTTAATAAACAAAAAGAGAACAAATTCCCTTGAAAAAGAAACAATAAATAATAAAAATAACAAAATAGGAATTGAAGGCTATAAAACCAATGCTGAAGCCCCAAGCCTTTGAATAGACAGTGAGATAGACGAAATGGGGTCAGGGTGGTCGGCAGAGGAGGATGGGCAGGCGCTGCAGGAGCGGCCAGCGTCTGCAAGCGCTGCCACAGGAAGCGATGGACATGACAGAGGGAAGGCGGTGAGCGGAAGCTTGGGCGCAGAGGTAAAGCTGGAGCATGGCTTGGAAGCTATCTTGAAAGATGCAGACTTGGCATTGGATAGGTCTTCCTTGGATAAGCTTCGTGCTCAACTCCATGCTGGGATCTTATTGAACGAAGGAACTAAGGCAAGTGAAATAATACGTGTAAATTTACTATTTTAGGGTTCGAGTCGAGGAGGAACTAAACAAAAAATACTCGTATTTCAAGTAGATAAAGTTAGAGATGTGTCTGGGACTAGGGGGAGGGGGACGGAGAAGGTATTCCCGTCTTCATCCTTGCCTCCCATTCTAATTTTTATCCGTGCGAAAATTTTCATTTATTTTTGTGAGGACCCAAGCTCGATTCGTCCGTGGAGAGTTTTTTATTTTTATTTTATTATATATATATATATATATTTCTCAATATTTTTTTAAAAACAATATAAATATTGATATATTTTTTTTTAAATGAATATAAATTTCTATTAAATTGATTAGATATTCTAATAAATTTATTTTATAAATAAAAATATAATATAATGTAATTATTTTTTTCACAATTATTTATATATATCAGTTTAGGGTTATATATAGTAAGTAATGAAAGAAAAATATATATAATATAAATATATAATAAGATAAAAAAAATGGAAAGTGAGAGTAAATTTTAAATTTATATCTTATAATAACTATTAAAATTTTTGAATTTTTGAATTAAGATTTTAAAAATTTATTAGACAAAAAATTAAAAATTTTAAAATCTACTTGATTTTGATTCCTTTGAATGCAGAAATATTGGTTAGATAAGGAGTCGAACGGTAACTGTTTTATGTTATTTCCAAGAGCTCTCTCCATAACTTGGGTCCACCAGAGCAAGTATTGGAGATGGAAATCCTTGGAAGAGCTGAGGTATGCATTTTATTTATTCATTCAAAAGTCTCTCGTATGGAGTTTGCTGCTATAACGATGTGTTAAATCGTCATTAAACTCGAACGTACAGCAATACAATTGAAATCGTTGAACTTATAAACGTATGTTGGCTTGAAATCAATGGGAAGATCAAGACATGTGAGCTCTCACCAGGAGTTTTGTACGAAGCATTCTTTATGGTAATGATCACAGATCCATCCTACGGATGGGATGTTCCAGTGAACATTAGACTAAAGAAGCCAGATGGGAGCAAGAAGGAGCGTCTAGAAGCTTTGGAGAAGAGGCCACGAGGGCAGTGGTTCGAGATTCCGATAGGCGATTTCGTGGTTGACCACAAGAATGGTGGCGAGATCGAGTTCGACATGTATGAATATGAAGGAGGGATGTGGAAGAAAGGGATGCTCCTAAAAGGTGTTGTGATTCGAACAAAACCGATGGTTTGAAAATGATAATATGTGTTTCAATGGAAGCGTTGCTCGACACAACTCTCAAACTCGAACACGAACTCAAAGGTCTTGAAATTTAAGATAAAGGAGTAAGAGATAGATAAAAAATCGTGAATGTATCACAAGTGCATACCTAGTGCTATTCGTGTTATCTATGCAAATTATAAGATGATATTGTGAATAACCCCATAACCAAAGTTATCACATTCGCACTATAAATATGCATATCCATAACGTTCTCATATTTTAGTCATGCAGTTGTTCCGAAGTGCTTTCACCTCTCGATTTTTTAAAAAGAAGAAAACTCGATAGTGCTATTCGGGTCGTCTATGCACATTATTGATGATATGGTGACTAACCCAAGTAGTTGTCACATTCCGCACTAGTTTTATCATTGCTATTCTTCGTCACATTATGCACCAGCCGGGAATCGAATCCGAGTCTGTACCGTGGCAGGGTACTATTCTACCACTAGACCACTAGTGCTTCAATAAGTAGGCATAGCCATAAGGTTCTCGTATTTTAGTCATGCAGTTGTTCCGAAGTGAAGGTTCTCGTATTTTAGTCATGCAGTTGTTCCGAAGTGCTTTCTCCTCTCGATTTTAGAAAAGAAAGTGCTAAGGTTCTCGTATTTTAGTCATGCAGTTGTTCCGAAGTGCTTTCTCCTCTCGATTTTAGAAAAGAAAGTGCTATTCTTCATCACATGATGCACTAGCCGGGGATCGAACCCGGGTCTATACAGTGGCAGGGTACTATTCTACCACAAAAATAAGTAGGCATTCCATAACATTCTCGTATTTTAGTCATGCTGTTGTTCTGAAGTGCTTTCACATTACGCACTAGTTTCATCATTGCTATTCTTCGTCACATGATGCACCAGCCGGGAATGAACCCGGGTCTGTACCGTGGCAGGGTACTATTCTACCACTAGACCACTGGTGCTTCAATAAGTAGCATATCCATAACGTTCTCGTATTTTAGTCATGCAGTTGTTCCGTAGTGCTTTCACCTCTCGATTTTAGAAATGAAGAAAGCTCAATACGAACCCGGGTCTGTAACGTGGCAGGGTACTATTCTACTACTAGATCACGTGGCAGGGTACTATTCTACTACTAGATCACGTGGCAGGGTACTATTCTACTACTAGATCACGTGGCAGGGTACTATTCTACTACTAGATCACGTGGCAGGGTACTATTCTACTACTAGATCACTGGTGCTTCAATAAGTAGGCATATCCTTGCTATTCTTCGTCACATGATGCACCAGCCGGGAATCGAACCCGGGTCTGTACCGTGGCAGGGTACTATTCTACCACTAGACCACTAGTGCTTCAATAACTAGCATATCCATAACGTTCTCGTATTTTAGTCATGCAGTTGTTCCGTAGTGCTTTCACCTCTCGATTTTAGAAAAGAAGAAAGCTCAATAGTGAGATATGGTGACTAACCCAAGTTGTCACATTACGCACTAGTTTCATCATTGCTATTCTTCGTCACATGATGCACCAGCCGGGAATCGAACCCGGGTCTGTACCGTGGCAAGGTACTATTCTACCACTAGACCATTGGTGCTTCAATAAGTAGGCATATCCTCTTGCTATTCTTCGTCACATGATGCACCAGCCGGGAATCGAACCCGGGTCTGTACCGTGGCAGGGTACTATTCTACCACTAGACCACTAGTGCTTCAATAACTAGCATATCCATAACGTTCTCGTAGTTTAGTCATGCAGTACCACTAGACCACTAGTGCTTCAATAACTAGCATATCCATAACGTTCTCGTAGTTTAGTCATGCAGTTGTTCCGTAGTGCTTTCACCTCTCGATTTTAGAAAAGAAGAAAGCTCAATAGTGAGATAGGGTGGATTGCTATTCTTCGTCACATGATGCACCAGCCAGGAATCGAACCCGGGTCTGTACCGTGGCAGGGTACTATTCTACCACTAGACCACTAGTGCTTCAATAACTAGCATATCCATAACGTTCTCGTATTTTAGTCATGCAGTTGTTCCGTAGTGCTTTCACCTCTCGATTTTAGAAAAGAAGAAAGCTCAATAGTGAGATATGGTGGATTGCTATTCTTCGTCACATGATGCACCAGCCGGGAATCAAACCCGGGTCTATACCGTGGCAGGGTACTATTCTACCACTAGACCATTGGTGCTTCAATAAGTAGGCATATCCTCTTGCTATTCTTCGTCACATGATGCACCAGCCGGGAATCGAACCCGGGTCTGTACCGTGGCAGGGTACTATTCTACCACTAGACCACTAGTGCTTCAATAACTAGCATATCCATAACGTTCTCGTAGTTTAGTCATGCAGTTGTTCCGTAGTGCTTTCACCTCTCGATTTTAGAAAAGAAGAAAGCTCAATAGTGAGATATGGTGGATTGCTATTCTTCGTCACATGATGCACCAGCCGGGAATTGAACCCGGGTCTATACCGTGGCAGGGTACTATTCTACCACTAGACCACTAGTGCTTCAATAACTAGCATATCCATAACGTTACCGTGGCAGGGTACTATTCTACCACTAGACCACTAGTGCTTCAATAACTAGCATATCCATAACGTTCTCGTATTTTAGTCATGCAGTTGTTCCGTAGTGCTTTCACCTCTCGATTTTAGAAAAGTGAGATATGGTGGATTGCTATTCTTCGTCACATGATGCACCAGCCGGGAATCGAACCCGGGTCTGTACCGTGGCAGGGTACTATTCTACCACTAGACCACTAGTGCTTCAATAACTAGCATATCCATAACGTTCTCGTATTTTAGTCATGCAGTTGTCCCGTAGTGCTTTCACCTCTCGATTTTAGAAAAGTGAGATATGGTGGATTGCTATTTCTTCGTCACATGATGCACCAGCCGGGAATCGGGAGTGAGATATGGTGGATTGCTATTCTTCGTCACATGATGCACCAGCCGGGAATCGAACCCGGGTCTGTACCGTGGCAGGGTACTATTCTACCACTAGACCACTAGTGCTTCAATAACTAGCATATCCATAACGTTCTCGTATTTTAGTCATGCAGTTGTTCCGTAGTGCTTTCACCTCTCGATTTTAGAAAAGAAGAAAGCTCAATAGTGAGATATGGTGGATTGCTATTCTTCGTCACATGATGCACCAGCCGGGAATCGAACCCGGGTCTGTACCGTGGCAGGGTACTATTCTACCACTAGACCACTAGTGCTTCAATAACTAGCATATCCATAACGTTCTCATATTTTAGTCATGCAGTTGTTCCGTAGTGCTTTCACCTCTCGATTTTAGAAAAGAAGAAAGCTCAATAGTGAGATATGGTGGATTGCTATTCTTCGTCACATGATGCACCAGCCGGGAATCGAACCCGGGTCTGTACCGTGGCAGGGTACTATTCTACCACTAGACCACTAGTGCTTCAATAACTAGCATATCCATAACGTTCTCGTATTTTAGTCATGCAGTTGTTCCGTAGTGCTTTCACCTCTCGATTTTAGAAAAGAAGAAAGCTCAATAGTGAGATATGGTGACTAACCCAAGTGGTCACATTACGCACTAGTTTCATCATTGCTATTCTTCGTCACATGATGCACCAGCTGGGAATCGAACCCGGGTCTGTACCGTGGCAGGGTACTATTCTACCACTAGACCACTAGTGCTTCAATAACTAGCATATCCATAACGTTCTCGTATTTTAGTCATGCAGTTGTTCCGTAGTGCTTTCACCTCTCGATTTTAGAAAAGAAGAAAGCTCAATAGTGAGATATGGTGACTAACCCAAGTGGTCACATTACGCACTAGTTTCATCATTGCTATTCTTCGTCACATGATGCACCAGCTGGGAATCGAACCCGGGTCTGTACCGTGGCAGTGTACTATTCTACCACTAGACCACTGGTGCTTCAATAAATAGGCATATCCATAACGTTCTCGTATTTTAGTCATGCAGTTGTTACGAAGTGCTTTCACCACTCGATTTTATAAAAGAAGAAAGCTAGATAATGCTATTCGTGTCGTCTATGTACATTATAGATGAGATATGGTGACTAACCCAAGTGGTCACATTACGCACTAGTTTCATCCTTGCTATTCATCGTCACATGATGCACCAGCCGGGAATCAAACCCGGGTCTGTACCGTGGCAGGGTACTATCCATAACGTTTTCGTATTTTAGTCATGTAGTTGTTCCTAAGTGCTTTCACCTCTCGATTTTAGAAAAGAAGAAAGCTCAATAGTGCTATTCGTGTCGTCTATGCACAACAATATAGATGATATATGGTGTCTAACCCAAGTTATCACATTAACGCACTAGTTTCATCATTGCTATTCTTCGTCACATGATGCACCAGCCGGGAATCGAACCCGGGTCTGTACCGTGGCATGGTACTATCCATAACGTTTTCGTATTTTAGTCATGCAGTTGTTCCTAAGTGCTTTCACCTCTCGATTTTAGAAAAGAAGAAAGCTCAATAGTGCTATTCGTGTCGTCTATGCACAATATAGATGATATATGGTGTCTAACCCAAGTTATCACATTAACGCACTATGGTGTCTAACCCAAGTTATCACATTAACGCACTAGTTTCATCATTGCTATTCTTCGTCACATGATCCACTAGCCGGGAATCGAACCCGGGTCTGTAACGTGGCAGGGTACTATTCTACCACTAGACCACTAGTGCTTCAATAAGTAGGCATATTCATAACGTTCTCATATTTTAGTCATGCAGTTGTTCCGAAGTGCTTTCACCTCTCGATTTTATAAAAGAAGAAAGCTCGATAATGGTATTCGTGTCGTCTATGCACATTATAGATGAGATATGGTGACTAACCCAAGTGGTCATATTACGCACTTGTTTCATCATTGCTATTCTTCGTCACATGATGCACCAGCCGAGAATCAAACCCGGGTCTGTACTGTGGCAGGGTACTATTCTACCACTAGACCACTGGTGCTTCAATAAGTAGGCATATTCATAACGTTCTCGTATTTTAGTCATGCAGTTGTTCCGAAGTGCTTTCACCTCACGATTTTATAAAAGAAGAAAGCTCAATAGTGGTATTCGTGTCGTCTATGCACAATATAGATGATATGGTGTCTAACCCAAGTTATCACATTAACGCACTAGTTTCATCATTGCTATTCTTCGTCACATGATGCACCAGCCGGGAATCGAACCCGGGTCTGTAACGTGGCAGGGTACTATTCTACCACTAGACCACTAGTGCTTCAATAAGTAGGCATATTCATAACGTTCTCGTATTTTAGTCATGCAGTTGTTCCGAAGTGCTTTCACCTCTCGATTTTATAAAAGAAGAAAAAGCTGGACTATTCGTGTCGTCTATGCACAATATAGATGATATGGTGTCTAACCCAAGTTATCACATTAACGCACTAGTTTCATCATTGCTATTCTTCGTCACATGATGCACCAGCCGGGAATCGAACCCGACTTCAATAAGTAGGCATATTCATAACGTTCTCGTATTTTAGTCATGCAGTTGTTCCGAAGTGCTTTCACCTCACGATTTTATAAAAGAAGAAAGCTCAATAGTGGTATTCGTGTCGTCTATGCACAATATAGATGATATGGTGTCTAACCCAAGTTATCACATTAACGCACTAGTTTCATCATTGCTATTCTTCGTCACATGATGCACCAGCCGGGAATCGAACCCAGGTCTGTACCGTGGCAGGGTACTATTCTACCACTAGACCACTAGTGCTTCAATAAGTAGGCATATCCATAACGTTCTCGTATTTTAGTCATGCAGTTGTTCCGAAGTGCTTTCACCTCTCGATTTTATAAAAGAAGAAAAAGCTGGACTATTCGTGTCGTCTATGCACATTATAGGTGAGAATATATGGTGAACGCACTAATTTCATCATTGCTATTCTTCGTCACATGATGCACCAGCCGGGAATCGAACCCGAGTCTGTACTGTGGTAGGGTACTATTCTATCACTAGACCACTGGTGCTTCAATAAGTAGGCATATCCATAACATTCTCGTATTTTAGTCATGCAGTTGTTTCGAAGTGCTTTCACCTCTCGATTTTAGAAAAGAAGAAAAAGCTCAATAGTGCTATTCTTCGTCACATGATGCACCAGCCGGGAATCGAACTCGGGTCTGTACCGTGACAGGGTACTATTCTACCAAAGACTTCAAATAAGTAGGCATATCCGTTACATTCTCGTATTTTTTAGTCATGTAGTTGTTCCGAATTGCTTTCAGATTACGCACTAGTTTCATCATTCCTATTCTTCGTCACATGATGCACCAGCCGGGAATCAAACCCGGGTTTGTACCGTGGCAGGGTACTATTCTTCGTCACATGATGCACCAGTCGGGAATCGAACCCGGGTCTGTACCGTGGCAGGGTACTATTCTACCACTAGACCACTGGTGCTTCAATAAGTAGGCATATTCATAACGTTCTCGTATTTTAGTCATGCAGTTGTTCTGAAGTGCTTTCACCTCACGATTTTATAAAAGAAGAAAGCTCAATAGTGGTATTCGTGTCGTCTATGCACAATATAGATGATATGGTGTCTAACCCAAGTTATCACATTAACGCACTAGTTTCATCATTGCTATTCTTCGTCACATGATGCACCAGCCGGGAATCGACCGGGAATCGAACTCGGGTCTGTACCGTGACAGGGTACTATTCTACCAAAGACTTCAAATAAGTAGGCATATCCGTTACATTCTCGTATTTTTTAGTCATGTAGTTGTTCCGAATTGCTTTCACACTACGCACTAGTTTCATCATTCCTATTCTTCGTCACATGTGCACCAGCCGGGAATCAAACCCGGGTTTGTACCGTGGCAGGGTACTATTCTTCGTCACATGATGCACCAGCCGGGAATCGAACCCGACTTCAATAAGTAGGCATATTCATTACATTCTCGTATTTTAGTCATGCAGTTGTTCCGAAGTGCTTTCACATTTACGCACTAGTTTCATCATTGCTATTCTTCGTCGCATGATGCACCAGCCGGGAATCGAACCCGAGTCCGTACCGTGGCAGGGTACTATTCTACCACTAGACCACTGGTGCTTCAATAAGTAGGCATATCCATAACCAATAAGTAGGCATATCCATAACATGAAATTAGAACTAATATGTTTAAGAATGGTCTAAACAAGTTTATAAGCTCTCATCAAATCTTATCTTCTATTCAATATTTTCAAATCTATATGTTTTTGTATGGGTCGTAGAGTAAGTCAACTTCGTATCCTTCAGCCCTACAATTGATTAAAAGAGATAAACTAAAGAGCCTCTCGCGTGTAGAAACGTTTTTGATGTTTTCTGGGGCGACAACCACGGGAATTGGGATTTTTTGAAGGGTAGTGTGATGTCCCACATTGGTTGGGGAGGAGAACAAAACACACTTTATAAGGGTGTGGAAACCTTCCCCTAGTAGACGCGTTTTAAAGTTTAAGGGGAAGTCCGGAAGGAAAAGTCCAAAGAGGACAATATCTGCTAGGGGTGGATCTGGGTGGTTATAGGTAAATTTCAAAACTAATATTTAAGGAACAAAAAAACCGTAATTGTTGATTGAGGTTATGTGCAACTGTTCTTTCTTAGTATCGATCACGAATTAAAATTTTAATTTTATTTCAGGTAAGTTTTCAAGATTTATATATTATTCAAAAAGTGTCGTGATGGGACATGGTTTTGCTTAGGATGTTGTCTAAATCTTAGAAATTAATATTGTTGTCAATTATTGGTTGGGAAATAAAATCAAAAGTGACAATACATGTCTTCATGTTGGTTGTTTGTGATTAATCAAAGGAGATTATCATGTTTGCCATGATCCAATGCTTAAACATTATTAACCTTATTGTTTATAATTATAACATCATTAACATAGCAAACATATCACATTAATTGCTTCACTAAAGTCTTTGTTAGGATGGAGAAAACTCCATTCATCTCACCTGCCCATTAATTAATTGTACTTCCTCTAGTTAACACCCACCTTTCTCTCTCTAACAAAAGATGAGAACTTTAGGGTTTGGGTGGGAAAATAGGTTAACATTAGAGGTGTTCATATGACTCGAGAACTCGATCAGACTACCAAATTCAAATTATAAGCTTCGGTTGGGTTTTTTTTTTTTTTTTTTTCATTTAGGTCGGGATGAGTTTTTAAAAAACTGACAAAATTTGAGTTGTTTCATAAGTTGACATTTTTTTTGTTGCGTTAGCTTGACCTACTCGATAATGGGTTACAACCCAATCCAACCTTACCCTACTTTTCAAATTATTATGAAAATTAAGACTATTTGATGTTTGTAACTGATTTTAGTGATGCATTGTGACTTGCGAATATTTGATATTTGAGGTTGATGAGATTTTAGTTATTAATGTAACCTGTATCGTGGATAAATAAGATTTTTTAATAATTAAAAAAATAACTCGACAATTCAACCCAACTCGACCAAAAAAAAGTGGGGTTAATTAAGTTGTGAACTCTTTTTGGGTTGCTCGAGTCATCAACTCAACCATCCCGAAATTTCAGATTGGTTTAAAAGATTTCTCCCGTCAAACCCGTGTACACCCCTAGTTAATATTATTTGCACTCTTTTTTAATATAATGTTAATGAAAAAATTGCATGGAGAGTTCGACATTTATTTGAATATAACAATGAATTAGGAGCGCGAGTCTCGTAGAAGACAACAAAATGAACCTCAAAGTCTTACCAAATAACTGGAGGGACCTTCTCTCGAGCATAGTGTGAATGTTTGCTGAATCACCACACCTCAATGGGGGTGAGAGTTCTCTTATTTATAATTATTTTCAGAATACAGAAATATGGTAAATTACAAATATTATGGAAATAGTAATAAAAGGAAAGAATAATAAATGAATGCAATATATTTGCCTTTAATAAGAGGGCAAATATGGTAACCCGTAATGTAAGGCAAATATCTAGATATTTGCCTTATAGTGACGGTCAACTATCCTTAACACCCCCCCGCAAGCTGAGCGTCGGATTTGAACGAACGTAAAGCTTGGATCTGAAAAATTCAAAGAGAGGTCGAGAAATACTCTTTGTGAAGATGTCAGCAACTTGGAGATGAGAGGGTACATATTGTGTGCGAAGTTTGCCAGCGATAACAAGTTCTCGAAGGAAATGATAATCTAGTTCAACATGTTTGGCCCGCTTGTGAGAAACGGGATTAGAGCTCAAAAAAATAGCACTTTTGTTGTCACATAAGAGTAAGGGCTGCTTTGAAATAGGGACCTTGAGGTCATGCAAAAGATGCGTAACCCAAAGAAGTTCAGCAGCGGTTGTGGCAAGAGCACGATACTCAGATTCACAGCTGGAGCGTGAGACAGTAGGTTGCTTTTTGGCACTCCAAGAAACCAGATTGTTACCAAGATAAATAGAATAGCCGGATGTAGAACGACGAGTATCGGGACAACCAGCCCAGTCAGCATCCGAATAAGCGACTAGCGTACTAGGAACATTGGATGGACGAAAGGTAAGACCAAAGTGGAGTGTTCCTTTGACATAGCGAAGAATACGTTTGACAGCAAGAAAGTGATCTGCAGTAGGGGCATGCAAGAATTGACTGACAGAATTGACAGCATAGGCAATATCTGGACGCGTAATAGTCAAGTACTGAAGGGCGCCAACAAGAGATCTGTAGAGAGTAGGATCAGAGAAAGGAGAACCATCAGCAGTCAAGTGTTGAGAAACAACCATAGGAGTGTGAACTGGTTTGCTATCGAGCAACTGAGCACGAGTAAGAATATCTCGAGCATATTTTAACTGACTAATAAAGAGACCATCAGGAGTGGGTGAAGCTTCAAGACCAAGAAAGTAACTGAGAGAACCCAAATCTTTGGTAGCAAACTCAGAATGAAGCTTGCGAGTAAAGCTGTCAATAAGAGATGAGTTGTTGCCGGTAACAATAATGTCATCAACATAAAGAAGCAAATAGATAATGTTAGATTGCTGATGAAAGACAAAAAGGGACGTGTCAGCGCGACTGCAAGAAAACCCAAGTGTGAGAAGAAATGAGCTAAAACGCTGAAACCAAGCACGAGGAGCTTGCTTTAAACCATAGAGGGCTTTCTTTAATAGACAAACATGAGTGGGAAATCGAGGATCAATATACCCAGGAGGTTGTTCCATATGAACACGTTCAATAAGAGTTCCATTGAGAAAAGCATTCTTGACATCAAGTTGTCGAAGAGGCCATTTATTTGTGACTGCAATAGAAAGCACAACACGGACAGTGGTAGCTTTGACAACCGGACTGAAAGTGTCAGTGTAGTCAAGACCAGGAACCTGAGTATAACCTTTGGCAACAAGACGAGCCTTGAAACGCTCGACAGATCCATCAGGCAAATATTTAATACGAAACACCCATTTAGAGCCCACGATGTTGGTGTTAGCAGGGCGAGGAACCAAAGTCCAAGTATCATTTTGTTGTAATGCTTGAATTTCTTCATCCATGGCAGCCACCCAAGCAGGATTCTTAGCCGCAGATTTGAATCCTTTTGGCTCAGTGGATGCAAGAAGAGCAGAAAGAAGTCCAGATGAGCCCAAAATACCAAGATTTGCTGGATGACGAGTCTTGAATATACCAGCTTTGGCTCGTGTGATCATAGGATGAGTGCCCAAAGAAGAGAAATCAACAGGAGGTTCAATAGAGGTCGAATTAGAAGTCGAAGGTGGCAAAGTGGAACCTGCAAGAGAAGTATCAACCTGCACAGACTCATCTACAAGGTCAGAACAAATATCACACGGGGA